TCGATATCCAACAAGAATGCTTCGGGATTCGATGGAAGATAGGTTATCGTTTCCAATTTGACCTGAACACATCTTTCTATGCCAGACAGGAAGAGGACATTCTGTTCGGTTCAGGTGGTGGGAGGGGGGGGGGGGGGGGGGCAGTTTTTCAGTTACTCCAGTTTCCCTTATTAGTTCCGTTGACTTACTAATCGCACCTTGGTGAGACTTGTAGACTCCTGCCAAGTGTCAACGAAGCTCATACTTCTTCATGACTTACAAAAGTTGACAGGTTTCCACGGCAATTCGATGGGAACAAGCAACATGCCCCCACCTAGTGGAACATGTGTTACAGCGCGTGTACTAGAAGTCAAGTCTGGTATCAACCCTTCAACCCCAGAAGCGTAAAGGGTGGAGCAAACCAGGGTGGAAGCCAGTCCTTCTACCTTGAAGATAACCCAGACACATTCTTCGTCGATTGCGATCCATGAGTAGTGGAATTCGTATATGAAAGAACAGCTCCAAGTCAGGTTAGCAGTGAACAAAAAAGCAAGTGAAACGTGGGCAAGGCCCCAAATAGGGCCTACATTTCGCAGTTGATTTTGAACACTGGATGCGTTCAGAAAAAGCGAGGGGCGATAGGACACTGCTAACGCAAGAGAGATAAGACATCTGCTTTACGCATAATGAATAGAGGGACCACGCGACGCGCACTTTGCGACGTGAGTTAGGGGGTGGGGGGGGGAGTGGCGGACAGGCATCTCTGACCACTTATGGGGCTAGCTCTCCCCACCGACCTATGGTCAACCTATCTTAGACAGCCTGGCTTTTCGAGCTGATCAGGTTTCCATTGAATGAATCTTGACGACCTTGTTTCCAGCTTCACAAGAGACCTTCACAGGTTTTCGTCAGGACGTTGAGACAGTTGATAAGACGAACTAGATTCGGGAGGCACACTGGATAGTACAACATTCGACCCCCCTTCGACAAAACAGTCGCGCGACCAGGATGAACGGGTGATGAGGGAGCTCGAACGTTGCGTCGGTGTTTTGAGCGTACGGCAGCGTTGTAGGCGACTACGGAGTTAAGGATATCGATCTAGCCGGCTCGCTAGATCAATATCCACACTTTCCTAGTCGCTCGAACGCTAAAAATGCTCGAAATGAAAACGCTCGAAACGCTGACGTAAAGTATGAAAGCACTCTGAGAGAAGGACGGCTGGCACGAATGCACCTGCCGTGACGTTCATCCCAGGGTGACGTCGCTACTGGTGGTTGGGGTCGCTACGGTAAATGATGACACAATAGTGGTAGAAGCTCTGCGACTATGGGCGAGGCTAGGTGAAAGGAAGGGAATCCTACGGGGTAATAGCGTACGGCGTCTTCAAGCCGCGTTCATACTCCACCATTCAAGTCGCGCGACTACGTCCAGCCGCGCTCCATAATCGATCTGCCACTGCTACGCTCTGCCCCAGGTGTGATTGAACTAGCAATTTCAACGGTTCAGAGACTAGCGGTGGGACGCTGTTGGTCAACTTTAGCAGTGAAGTATGTCAGCAGCCTACTTAAATATGTGAATAGCCTTGCCTACCTCAGCCAACGCTTTGAGACAAGCCTTCTTCCTTGCATCACCCTTGGGATATGGCTTTATCGTGCCAGAGATTGCTGTCAGTTTGTGGAACAGTGCGAACTCAGCCTCATGGAAGCGACGTGCTGCACCTTCGAGCTGGCTTGTGCTCTGAATGACGAGAATTTTTTCAAGGAAATTGATGGCGAATGACGTCACTCTTTAGGACGACCTTCTTTATGATGTCGTTTAGAGCATCGAATAGCACAGGATCTTTGTTTTTGCTATCCTCATCAGTATACATATTCGTCTCCATATTCCAGATCAGCTGATGAGCCAAAAGCTGCGAATGACTAGCTAGCCATACGATCAGCTCGGCTACATAACCCATCTGGAAACAATAGGTGCCCTATAGTTCAGTGAAAAGACCTCAAACTCCAGTGGAACTTACGGTGTCATGTCTGACAGCCTGTACCAGCTGTGGAATGTACATCAGCAACGCGTCGGCAGGGTAGGAGCGCAGCACACGAACAGCGTACTGTACCGTGACTGGATGAAGTGGATATTGACGAGGAGTGAGAAGAGACAACGCCATCACAGGAGAGCAGGTAGCCCATGTCAGGACGTGGGCGATCTGAAGGAGAAGTAACTAATTGCAAGACAATCCCAACGTTCAAATGCACATTCTGCGATAGCCGGATGGGCGGAGACTCATAGCTACGGAGATCCCTCATTGGCTCCATCTCCATGGCGCCATAGGAGGGGCGAATTAATGAGTGAGGCACA